ATCAGAATCAATTTTATCAGAATTCTGGAAAATGGGCAAAAGTTTATAGTGAGCAAGGAAATGCTTAGTCAAGAAAAGGCAACTGAAACCTGATAAAGCTTTGTGCTAGGTTAACTGATCTTTGTCCATCCTCTACTCCCCACATCGGTGGCAGTCTTGAAGCTTTGAAGAGAGTATCCCATGTCCCTGGTGTGGGGTCCTGGGGCCAAGGGAAACACAGTGGACCTTGTCCCAAGATTCTATAGCCGTCTGTTTTGACCTTTAGTCCCTGAAGGACTAAAACCATGAGCTTGCCTTTATTTCCTTGACTTTGGGCTCTCTTAGGGCAGAAAAGCAGCTATGCAAAGGGCATTTGGTCAAAAACATTTCACATGGGGCAATGAATATAAGTTAGGGCAAACAATATTCCCACCAATAAGCCTGGGAGGAAAGCTTTAGGAGTGAAATGCTTTGGGGAACAAGAGCTTTGAAGAATACCCACATATACCAAGGGATCTAAAAGGCCTTGCACAGAGTCAGATACACGATGAGAAAGGATGCAAGAAAGCTCTAAGCTCTCAACTCCGGCTGACCTTCCAATTCCCTGGAGGTGGAAAACACAGGCTAAGGCAGAGCTGTCAATGGCCTGGCTAGGACTTGAAGCCATGCCCCAACACACATGCCCAGTCCAGCTGCTAAGAAGAGATTATTTTTGTTTTCAACTCCAGGCATTTAGAGACTTCAATGATCACATGCAATATATAATAGAGTCTTCACAAAACTACCTTAGAAAAGTCATGAAATAAACTTCTATAACTTATATCAAGCAGTGGCAGCAAGTCCTGGAAAGAGAGGAGAAGCTGAGTCCAAGTTAGCACATTATAATATTCAAGATATCCAGTTTTAACACAAATTATGAGGCACGTAAAGAAAGAAGGAAATATGGCCTCTTCACAGGAAAAGCATAAAAGAAACTATCCCTGAAGAAAGATAGACATTAGACTTACAAGACAAAGATTTTAAATCAATTGTCTTAAATATGTTCAAAAAGCTAAAGGAAATTATGGACAAAGAACTTAAGGAAACCAAGCATCTCCCTCTGGGAAGACGCTGCTACCATCCAACTGGAATGAAAGCCTGAGCCCAGCCAGAAGGATCCCTCTCAGCTACTTCTTCTCCTCACAGTCCAGACAGTGGTCACTACGCTCATCACCCTCCACACCCAGCAATAAAGGCCACTTCTGAAAAAAAGAGAACTAAAGGAAACCAGAATACTGTCTTAGAAAATATCATTAAATTGATAGGAATTATAAAAAGGAATAAAAAAAAAACTTTGGAGACAAAAAGTACAGTAACAAATGTGGAAAGTTCATTAAAGAGGTTCAATAGCAAATTTAAGCAGGCAGCAGAAAGAATCAATGACCTGGAAAATAGATCAGTTGAGATTAGCCAGACTGAGGAGCAGAAAGAAAAAAGAATAAAGAAAAACTAACAGAGCCTAAGTGAGACATTATCAAGAACACTGATGGGAACATATTGGGAGTTTTCTAATGAGAGAAGAGAGATACAAAGAGGCCAAACGAATATTTGAAGAACTAATGACCAGAAACTCCCATTTGATGGAAAACATGAATCCACACACACCAAGAAGCTCAGTGAAATCCAAATAGGTTAAACTCAAAGAGATCCACAGTGAGAAATAATAGTCAAATTGTCAAAAACAAAAGACAAAGACAGTCTTAAAAACAGTGAGAGAAACAACTTATCATGTACAAAGAATCCTCAATAAAATTAACAAATTATTTATCTTCAGAAACCATAGAAGCTAGACAGCAGTGGGATAATACATTTAAAATGGTGGAAGAAAAAAATACTGTTGAGAATTCTATATCTCAAAATTATCCTCCAAAAATGAAGGAGAAATTAAGAAATAAACAAAAACAGGGAGTTCATCACTAATAGACAATTGGAAAATCAAATGCATAAAACATTNCTGTGTGTATACGCGTCTGTGCCTGTGTGTGCATGTGTGCATGTGCATGTGAGCATGTACACTCCTGCAACAATCTGCAGAGCAGTCCTGGAAGCTTCAGACAGTTAATCCGGCACTGGAGATGCTACCTGTCCCTTGGGTTGCTGTGAGGAGTAACTAAACTAACATGTTATAAAGAACGTGGCACATTCCCTCCCCCTTATGTGGTAAGAGCCCAAAGATGGCTGGTTCTGTAGACAACCTCCTTTCCTCTGGCTCTCTGTTCCCCTTGAGGGGGCCTCCTTAACAGATACACACTTGCCTCCTGCCTCACTCGCATCCCAGGCAGGAGGACCTCTCCCCGGGGCTTAGCTGGGGGGCAGGGCGGGGCCTGGGTGCTCAGTCCACTCCACTTTTCTTTCTCCTTGCTCTGCCTGGCCACGGAAAAAACACACTCTATGCCCTCCACGCAGTGGGATTACAGACAGCCCAGGCAGGAAAAGGGCTGTGGTGGTCCATCTGGGAGAGCCTGACGGACTGCGGCCAACACACTAGCCAGCTCACTTGGCTCTCACAGCCAAGCCACGCTCCCAATATCAATGTCATCAGTGACATAGGTGGCCTACTGATTTCTAATGGCCAGACTCATGAGTCCAAGGCCATTAGCCTTTGTGCAAATTCTACAAAGCAGCAGCAGCACCAGCACCACCACCACCACCGCCACCGCCACCTCCATGGCTGGACACAGCCCAACAGACACTTGGCTTCGTAAGAGGATGGCACCTCTGTGGGAAGAAAGAGATGCCACGTTGCCCAAGAAAGGGCTCCCTGCTTATTGAAGGGAGAGAGCACTGCTCCCCGGACCAGGTGCAGTGACTGAACCACACCCTCGTGCACAGCAATCCACCTGGAATTAGGGGTGTAATTTACTGGCACCCTTCAAAACCCTAATAATGCTAACTTTCCATTATAACGGTACTGATACTAATAAAGAAGTGTACCTAGAAGGTATCACAGGTCAAAACAGTCCCATCAAACCACCCAGTCAGGCCTTTGCTGCCAAGCATAAATTCCTAAAACAAAAAAGTACTATTTTTGGTAAACTGTAATTATTAATATTAGCAAAATGTATTTAAGTAGCTCACACACAGTTGCAGGTTTAGAGAGAGGGCTGAAGGTGCTGGGTATGTACTGGGGGCATCCCAACACCATGGGCCAAGGGTTCTGGCCTCCGAGGGTCGCCCGCGCCAGTGACTCACCTCCGCAGGTCTCCTGTATTCGTACCACATCGCCAACCTGCAGGGAGAGCTGGCGGGCTCCGATCCCGTGGAAGTTGTATATGGCTGTGAAAAGGGAGAGAGAGGCAGCCTGGTGAGACTTCTGGATCCTGAGAGCTCTGCTCCATCCTGCGCTCCCTGCCTTGAGTTTATCTGATGCTCATGCAGCCCACTTGGGCTAAACAAAACCAACCCACCGCCTACCACAGGAGTCAATTCAGGCCAGCCTGGCTCCCAAGGGTCTCCATTCATTAACCAAACCTGACACCTCCCTAGCCCAGGTCCCGCACTCCAGTCTGAGTGACAAGGAGGGTGCTTATGTCATCGGCCATGGGTTGACCCACTACTGTATGCCAGGCATGTACTCAGCACATCTTCTCGTTCCATTCTCACAGCAACCTTGTGAAGTATAAACTGTGAACCTATTTTACCGATGAGGAAACGGAGGCTCAGAGAGGTTAAACAATTTGGCCAAAGTCATCAGGCTAGGAAGAGACAGGAAAATAAGCGTCTAACTTCCATATTCTCAACCACTACAATGGGCTACTTGCTGCTCCCCAATTACTCCAGCCTGGTGACAACAGCCTAAAATGTCAGTCTCTCCTCCACTCAAAGGCCACACGCTCTCCATGGACTAAGGAAGCCCTCTCTTCCTTCTGCCTACCTCTAGCCAACCTTTGTTCCTCCAGCTAAAGATGCCTGTTTCTCAGTCTTCACCAAAGGAAATCCTTCAGCACAGAGTCCTGCTCCCTCCTTGAGGCCCTCCTTGGCTTGTCCAGGCCGTACTGACCCCCATTTCCTGGCAGTTGGTAGGGCTCATATGAGCACCTAACATTCAAGGGTGTGCTCTACCCACCCCCCCACTCCCCCCATGTACGTTGTCCATTCCTGGGGAGCAGCAGTTGGCTGTGAACAGAGTCCCCTCTGTGCTGTCAGAAACCTGGCTAATCCCTTGGAACATGTGATCATGTCACACCACTGCAGTGCTCAGGCGCTGCTCAGCATCGCTTGCTAAGTAAGGACCAGGTCACACTGTTAACCTAGGTTAGGGATGCGTCCTGTTTTCCAAGGGATAAAATGGAACCACCAGCTTGGGATGCCTTCAAGAACAGAAGAAGATATAATGTGTGTGGCTTGATTTAAGGAAAGGCCCCCAGGAGGATGGGCAGTATGATCCTACAAGATTGTCATCATTCATTTATGCAGCAGATATTCAGTAAGTGATCACAGTGTGCCAAGCACATGCTAGGCACTGATCTTGTTCTTTTGGTGAACACACAGATGAATATAAGGTTACAAAACATGGTACATGTCATGGAGGAAAACA